GGTCATGGCGTCTCTTGCTTCCTTCAGTGAGCGTCAACAGCCGAGGGCCATGAGATTGTTTTACTTTCTTTATTATCATTTTTGGTACTGGGGGTTGAACCCAGGGCCTTTCGCATGCTGGTAAGCTATTGAGGCCCACCCTGTGGAAGATGAGATTTGTTACTCCCCAGGGGAAGGGCCCATGAGGCTGGCAGGAGGGCAGGGGAAACTGAAGGGGGAGCCCTCTGGGCTGTCCTAGGGCCCGTGGGGACCCTGTACTGGGCTGTTGGGTGGGCACCAGGAGCCACTCTGGAATCGAGGGCTTGTCCTGGGCCCACTTTGGGGAAAGTGGAGTGCAAACTGGCAGGGGACAAGGACCGATGCTAATCTGGGAATCTACTTTCCCCTAGCCATGACTTTGGGGCCCCCCAGGAGGCCACACTGGGGGCCAACAAGGTGATCGAGGGTCTGGACACAGGCCTGCAGGGCATGTGTGTAGGAGAGAGGCGGCAGCTGGTTGTGCCTCCGCACCTGGCACACGGAGAGAGCGGAGGTGAGGGGCCGAGGCCTGGGTCCTGTCTCCAGCCTCTGTGGCTGGTGGGAGGGTCAGGGACGCTTTCCTCCCATGCCCTGCTTTCCAGTTCCCAAGAAGGGAAACTGAGTCTGGCCTGGCCTCAATGGGACCTTTCTCCGCTCCCCTCTCCCCCCTCCAGCCCGGGGGGTTCCTGGCAGCGCTGTGTTGCTGTTTGAGGTGGAGCTAGTGTCCCGGGAGGACGGGCTGCCCACGGGCTACCTGTTTGTGTGGCACAAGGACCCTCCCGCCAGCCTGTTTGAAGATATGGACCTCAACAAAGATGGAGAGGTCCCCCCAGAGGAGGTGGGTCAGGAGCTCAGTCACACCCATGGTGCATCTAGTGCCGACCCAGTGCACACCTGCCCCTCCCCCAGGCACCTGCTGTCCCCGGCTGAGCCACTCACCTGTGCTTCCTTGCCTGTTGCCCCATCTGGCAGTCATGGACTGTCCCCCAGGCTGTACTCCAGCCCCTCTCCTCTCCTGGGCCTTAGTGAATTGGGGAGGGGACAGGGCAGCCTGGGAGGAAGGAGACAGCATTGGCTGTCCTCCCTGCCCAAGGCCATCCACAGCTCTCCATGACCTCACTCCTCCTGTGGCTCTCCCCTCCCCCAGTTCTCCTCCTTCATCAAGGCTCAAGTGAATGAAGGCAAAGGCCGCCTCATGCCTGGGCAGGACCCTGAGAAAACCATAGGGGACATGTTCCAGAATCAGGACCGCAACCAGGATGGCAAGATCACGGCTGAGGAACTCAAGCTGAAGTCGGATGAAGACCAGGAGCGGGTCCATGAGGAGCTCTGAAGGGCAGGGAGCCCGGGCCTGGCCTCAGACACAAAGGCCCCTGCGGGGGGACAGTGGCAGAGGGACTGGCCTGCCCACGGTCCCCTCCTTCAACTGGGATGACTCTGGGAGCCACTGAAGGGGTGTGGGACGAGCCCACTCTGCTCTGCCACCGACCCCAGGTTAAAATCCACAGTTCAGACCTTTATACCATTTTTCTCTTCCAGCCCCAACCCGCCTCCTTAAGACTTTGGGTTACAAAGCCAGTTTGGGGACAGAGGTTGGCTAGACCCTTGCTGGACCCCATCCACGCCTCCTGTTGCAGTGCTGGACTCTTAGCAAGGCTGAGCTCCTCAGACTTGCCCTTGATTTTCTTCCCCTCACCATCCTACCCCCATTCCTTTGTCACGGCAGCTCCCCAGGAGCATGGGTCAGCTGGGGGGTGGGGCTCTGCAGCCTCCTCCATTCTGACTGCTCCTCAGGGCAGCCCTGCCACCTGCTCCTCTCTCTTCTCCAAGGAGCCAGGGGCCAGGGCCGGGCTTTGTGCAGCCTTTCATTCCCAAGGGTGGCTCCTTTCTCAAAGAAACTGAAGAAAAGGCAGGTTATGCGGGGAAACCTGCTTAAAGGGTCTTTAGGGCTGTGGAAGTCTTTGTGTCTGGTGCTAATTCGGGACTGAGGGGTGGGAGGGAGTGGGCACAGCTCTGCACATTCAAAAGGCCAACCTGGCGCCTTGATCCCTTTTTCCTTTGTGTCAAATAAAAGGTAAAACCATGCCTTAGGAGATGGTCTTTCCATGTCCTGTGGGGAGAAGACTTTTGACCCAAAGATGGGGCAGAAAGAAGAATCAAACCCGGCTGTTGCCTTGGCCTCGCTGGCTCCAGACAGCGCCCCTATGCGGGGCTCCCCACTCCCAGAGGGTTCCCCCCTCCCCACGCCTAACTGGGGGGCCTCGCCATGGAAAGGGAGCCCCGGGCCACTGAGGGTGGATGTTCAGAGAGGAGAGGGGCCTGCAGGGGAGGTATGGAGAGATGATCTGTCACCTCATTGTCCCAGTTGAGTGGAAAAGACAGTCCCTGATCTCAAATAACCAGCAGACCTTGAGGACTCAACTGAACCACACGGACTGGGTTACTTTTCTGCATAATTTCCCATACTGTGATATTCCCACCGCTCCCTGGTTCTGGCCAACGGCCATTACCACCTGCCCATCCTCCTCCCTCTTGCCAGAGGAAAGGGAATTGAGTTCAGATCTCCACAGGGTCTTGGAGAGAGTTGCTTCAGCTGCCAGCCAGGCCATCTGCCCTCACTCACCTGCCTGGATTCTGCCTGGTGTGATGGAGATGACCCAAGCCTTCTGAGAACAGGGTGGGGCTTGCGAGAGAAAATTGACAGGACCAGACTCACCTGCCACAGTGCCCCCACAGGCACCAACCTCTTGCCAAGTGCTATGGTTCTAGAATGTCTCCCACAAAATACCAATGTGTTAAAGGTTTGGTCCCCAGCCCCTAGTGCCTCTAGGAGGTGGTGGAGCCTATGGAAAGTGCTAGGTCATTGGAAGTGTGCCTTTGAAGGGGACTTTAGGACATGGTCTTTCATATACCACCATTCACATGAGGTGAATGGGCCTTCTTTATATGCATTCCCACCATGATGTGCTGTGCCACCACAGACCCAAAGCAATGGGGCCAATTGGTCATAGACTGAAACCTCCAAAACTATGAACCTAAATAAACCATTTGTCTTTTTAAGTTGATTTTCTAGGTATGTTTTTATAGTGAGGGAGAGCTGATATACCCAGAATCTTTTTTTTTTTTTTTTTGGTACTGAAGATTGAACTCAGGGTTGCTATTGAACTATTGAGCTATTGAGCTACATCTCCAGCTCTATTATTATTATTACTATTATTGGGAATTGAACCCATGGGTGCTTTACCACTGAGTTATATTCCCAGTCATTTCTTTCTTTCTTTTTTTTTGGATTTTAAAGTCATTTTATTAACCCAACTGTACAAAAGACCCCACAACCACATCTCTGCCATTCCACTTTCTTCCAAAAAGTAGTGGCGAGGAGTGGTGAAGTCTACACTCCCCAGGAGTGTTTACAGGTGTGGAGAGGGAATTGGTGCAAAAGTAGCAACAGGGGAGAAGCAAACAGAATCACAAACACAACACAAAGTTGGGGGGTGCCACCTCCACTGTTTTGGAGTGGGGAACACTAGCTTAGTGAAGCCCCGAGGCCCACCCTCTTCCTCATAGCTGCAAAGGCTGTGGGCTCCACCAGGCAGTATCTTCCCTCCAGGTGCAGGGAACAGAGAAAAGTGGGAGTAGGGGACCAGAAGGTAGCCTTTGCCACCACACCCCGAGGGCTAGAGAGACCAGAGTTCTCTGCCGAGGGCCACACTCCCTTCCCCACCCTTTTGAGAAATGCACGTAGGAGCTCAACAGCAGTTGAGAGGGGCTCTTCACTAGGCCCCAGGCTCATTGCTGGCAGGCAGTGCTTTAAAAATAAAACAAAAACAAGCCCAGTGCAGGACTTTGGCTGAGATAATGAGGATTTCTAGATCACCAGGCCCAAGATGATACCTAATAGCCAGGAAATACAGAAGCAAAAATCTCCAGGCTCTCCTTCCTTTTAGTACCATGGCATGGAGAATCCTACTGACTCCTCCTCCTACCCACGAGGCTATGACATGACCTCACTTGGATCCTTCTGTCAGGGAGGAAATGAGGTATAAGGCCTTGGTACCTTTCCAAGCTTTCCTCCAACCAACCCAGGGAGGCAGGGGTATGAGGGCGCCAAAAGCTGAAGAACAGCACTGGGTTTAATGTGCAACAGACAGGGGGCCAGGGGTGCCAACAGAGTCCAGACCTCCAGGACAACCCAGACTTCAAAGATTCTGGTCCCTCAGACCACGTGTCTATATATATATATATATTTTTTTTTTTTTTTTTCAAAAATATGGTCATTAAGAGAAAAAAGCATGGGAAGCTGAGACCAGTGACTTTGGTATGAGGAAGCTACATCCTGACAGCACCTCTTACCTACTGTCACGAAGCCCCAAATCACCAAGAAACTGCCCTAGCTGGGAACTCCATTCTTCAAGCTATTTGGTGCTGAGGGAGGAGGAGCTGGACAGGTCTGGGGGAGGCAAAGGGGAAGGTAGAAAAAAGGAGGAATCCCCATTTATTCCCTAAAGAGGTCTCCCAGAGCCCATGAAATGGCTGTCGCAGGGGTAGGAAGAGACCGGCTCCTCAAGCCAGAAACCTTCAACGCTTCACTCCAAAAACTAAGGCTAGAGCTGTGGGGCGAGACAGGGGTGATAGGCACAGGTGTTAGATATCCATCCTAGGCAGACAGGCCACTCTTGCCTTCCTGAATTTCCTCTGCCCCTTTTCTCTTACAGTCACATCCCTAGGCCTCCTAATAGCCACACACACACACACACACACACACAAAAGTGGCTCTGCTCAGCAGGTTTCCTGGATCTCCGTAGATCTTGATGCGTTGTTTCCAGAAAAGTGAGCAACCCAGGCTCTTCTGCGCCCAGGCACTATCATGTTTCTGCTCTGAGAGGATGGGGAACCAGTGGAAACGAGGACCAGGAGCCAGACAATCACCCTGGAGGAGCAGGAAGGGACATGTGTACTTCCCTGGGACCACCTCACCAGTGTCACCCATCATTAGCAGCCACCAGCTGCCCCATGCCCTCGCGGATGTAGACAGACTGGATCTCCTTGGTCTTGAGGCAGAGATCACAGGCCCAGACAGCAGAGGCCTCAGTGGTCACGCTGTCAGTCATGCTGTGCACTCCAGTGGAACCACTTCTGGCAGGAGGCCTCACACAAGACAGCATCCTGGTTGTCATTCACCTCGTTCCGACAGGCACCACATGGGTACACCAGGCCTGGGGGAGGCTGGGGCCCTGAACCCCCACCTGTCTTGCCAGGGGGTGCTAGGCTGTTGGCATCCGGAGTGCCATCACCCCGTCCACTGCTGTTTTGGGGGAAACTGGGCTGATTCCCATTAACAGCAGCAGCTGGCGAGCCCAAATGGGGCTTCTGGGGAAAAGCAGTGGGAGCAGGTGGATTCAAGGGCTTCCCCCATCCTCACCACCAGGGCCAGGAAAGCCGGGGTCTGGACCAGGGAAGGGACTTGTGTTGGGGGGCAGGCTGGGGAGCCCCTGACCAGGTCTCTGTAGAGGAGAAGGACCAAAAGGCACATCTGGCTGGGCAAAGCGCTGGGGGAGAGAAGGAGGGCCCAGCTCCCCTCTGGGAGGCTGTCCCATGGTGGGTGAGATCATGGGGCCAAATCCCCCACTGGGCCTGGCATCATCTGCCCACCTGGAGCGCTGAAGTTTTGACCCAGAGGCTGGCTGAAGGGTTGACTGGGAAAGTTCATGTTGCCTGGGGGTGGGTAGCCAGGGCCCTGGGGGGGCATGTTGAAAGCAGGTCCCATAGGATTAGGAGGGAAGGGCGGGGTTATCAACAAAGTGTCTGGGGACCCCTCCACAGCCTGGGGGTACCTGGCTTGCCATGTCCCCTCATACACGGAAGCTTCCAAAGAGCACAGGACTGCCGAGGAATGGAGGGGCCGCGCTGCCCATCTTAGGGGCTCCGAAGTCACCCTCAAAAGGGTTGGATGCAACCAGATGATCCACCATGGGAGTCGGGGTGGTGCAAACTCCGTCAGACGTGAGTAAGCAGGACCCTGGGTATTTGACTTTCTTCGCTTCTTTTCTGGGCTCTTCATTTGCAAACCGGCCTTGCCCTGCTTCCTCCCAGTGCTGGGCGATGCAGGGGGCCTGAAGGGTCACTGGGAGGCATCCAGGCACTCCGAATGGCACCTGGCTACCAGCAGACACTGAGCAGCCCTTGTACCCCACCCCCCAATACCTTCAGGTCTACTAGAAACACAACTTCCAACAGTCGGCTCCTTGCAGGAGGTGGGAGTGGCTGTTTTCTTCAGTCTCTGGGGTGCTCCAGCTTTAAGCCACATCCCTGGACCTTTTATCTATTTACTTTGACACAGGGTCTCACTAAGTCCCTGAGGCTGGTGGCGAATTCGCCCTCCAGCCTGCTGCTGGGGTTATGGGTGAGCACCGTCATGCCCAGCAGCGGATGCTTCTCTCCAAGGGAGGACAGGCCAAGAAACGCCACATGAACTGGCTTTTTGAAAGAGGCCCAGAGAGAACTCAGCTGGCTCTTGACCATCCAAGTCAACAGGGGGAGGAGGGGAAGGAACTGAGAACAGCCATAATGCAAGATGCTTCTCTTTCACTTTGCCTTGTCCTCCCGGGCCTTGGCCTGAAGCCCTTGCAGATCATCTGTTTGGTGGCCCTGGGATGAAAAGAAGGAGGAGGGAGCCAAGGGCACCAGGGAAAATCTACACCCAAATAGGTTCCGTTGGGGATCCCTAAAGAGAGGGCTCTTAGACGGCCACCTCAACCCAACTGATCCCAACAGAATTTCAGATTTGATGGCTGCCCCAGAGTTAGGCCACCCCATTCCAAGTCAGCGCCCACCCTGTCAGCACAGGCATATTTAGACTGGGCTCAGAGGGGCTTCTGGGCTAATTCACGGTGGTCCTCCAACTGTTCCATGGAGCCCCCATGCCTCCTCAGAGCTCCCCTCAGAGCTCCCTATGCCTCCAGGGCCAAAAGGTTCAGGCTCTGCCGCCTACCCACACCCTCTGAATCAGAGCAGCTCTTTCTTATTTTAATTTTCATCTGTTTCATACCTTATATTTGTGTAAAGTACAGCTTCTCCTGTTCAAAAAAAAAAAATTTTTTTTTTTTTTTTTTTTTTGATACCGAGGATTGAACCCAAGGTCCTTAATCATTGAGCCACATCCCAGTCCTTTTTATTTTTTATTTTGAGACAGGGTCTCACTAAGTTACATAGAGCCTCACTAAATTGCTTAGGCTGGCCTTGAACTTGTGATCCTCCTGTCTCAGCCTCCCTGAGCCTCTGGGATTGCAGGTATATACCACCTTGACAAAAACAAGTTTTTTAAAAAATCCTTGGACTAGATGATCCATAGAATATTAACATGCTGTGGCCCATGGTTCATTTGGAACCCTGATTGCTGCCCTCCTACCCAACAGGGCCTCCTGCAAGCCTCTGTTGAAGAGGCAAGTGAAGGCATTGGGGGAAAGAGGAGGTGGGCAAGGACATGTCCAGTGGCTCCTGGCTGCCCAGGACTTTTCTCTATGCTCACAGCAGAGAGGTCTCCTGAGGAGAGGTCCCCTCCTCATTGTGATCGGCAAGGCCTGGACTGACACTGTGCCCTCAGGCCCTCAGGAGTCTTGCATCTCCATGAGGTCCCCCTGGGACAGGATGTGCTGCAGCAGCCCGTTCACCACATCCAGGGACTCGTCCTTCTCCAGCACGATGTCATAGGACTCCAGGTAGCGCTGCCGCTGCTCCTCCACCTGCACAGGGAAGCAGACCAAAAGTCCCCAAGACGCCTTGTCTAGGCCTCTTACTCCAGAGTGGGGGGCCAGGGAGGAGGCCACACAAGCACAGCTCCCAGCCCCCTTTCCAAAGTCTGAGGAGTTCAAGGTTAAGGGTTTGTTCTTTGAAGACAGAAAGGCTGCCTTAATTAACCCTCAGCCAGAGTCAAAAGGTCAATATCAAGGGTGAAAATCAAAAGCCCAGATGTTACCTCTAATCAATCTGGGCTGAGTTGTTTTTTTGGCTGGGTTTTTTTTTTTTGGTACCAGGGATTGAACCCCAGGGTACTTAACCACTGAGCCACATCTCCAGCCTTTTATATTTTTTAATTAATTTTTTTTTAGTTGTAGATGTACACAATACATTTGTTTTATTTTTATGTGGTGCTGAGGACCCAACCCAGTGTCTCCCATGTGCTACGCAAGTGCTCTACCACTGAGCCCTAACTCCAGCCCAATATTTTTTTAATGTAGACAGGGTCTCGCAAAATTGCTTAGGGCCTTACTAAATTTCTGAGGCTGGCTTTGAACTTGTGCTTCTCCTGATTTAGCCCCCCAGCAATGGGATTCCAGGCATGTGCTAGGAGTTTTTGTATGGCTCAAACATTTGTGGGCTCCAGCATCTGCTGGGGAGGTACAGCACTCTGGTACCTTTGCACCAGATATAATTTTTCTTTTCTGAATCAGAAAAGAAAAATTATATCTTAATTATCTTAATTATAAGCTCATGGTCAGAATACCAAAGTCTGGCATCTCAATCATGCCCCTTAGGTCTGATTTAGGAGGACTGGTAATCAGCCCCACCCTCTCCTAAACTACATTAACTTGGGCAAGTTCACCATAAACTCCTTGACTTGGTTTCCTTATCTGTAAAATCCCAGTCACTACCTCAGAGGGTTGCTGGAAGGACTAAATGGGGTAATGTCTGTGACATGCTTAGAACAGTGCCTGACACACACAGTCACACAGGCCAGTTCGATGTTCTCTCTCAACTCCTGTGTCAGGCCACGTGTGCATTTGTGATTACTAGGGATCTTCTTCATTTCCTATGAGACTATGTGTTCTAGGTGAATATGGCTTGAGTCTTACCTCGGCACCCCTAAACTTTCCACAGTGTCTGGCACGTAGAAGGTGTTCCAAAGCATTTTTTAGTAGAAATTCAAGGAGAAAGCCATGTGGGCAGGAGGCCTTGGCCCCTACCTACCTTGTCGTTTAGGAAGCCAATCTTGAGAATGTTCTCCACTCCAGGAACCCCATCGGCCATAGTGAGGTCCCCCATGGAGTCTCCAAGCAGGAGGATGTTGGTCTTGCCCTGAAGCTGCTGGAAGTAACTGGAGTTCTGACACGCGGAACTGTTCTTATTGTAGGTGTGTATGAGCTGGCCCTTGAATCCCTGTAGAAAACCCTAAAAAACCAAGAGACAGGTAGCAGGGACCCATGGAGTGCCAGCTTTCCATTCTGTCACAGAGGAAAGGAAATCCTGCAAGCTATAGATAATGCCCAAACTTTTTACTGTACCCTAGAATGGTGGTGGGTCCCAGATTTGGTCTTTTGTTGTTATTGTTGTTGTTTTTATTATACTGGGGATCAAACCAGGGGTACTTGACTATCACTGAGCTACATTCTTAGCTCCTTTTTATTTTTTATTTTGAGTCAAGTTGTCCTCAAACTTACAATCCTCCTGCCTCAGCCTCCTGAATCTCTGGGATTATAGGCATGAGCCATCATGCCTGGCATGGCTTGTTTTTCATAAATAAAATTTTACTGGAACACAGCCACACTCATTTGTTCACTTACTAACAATGGCTGCATTTTCTGCCAAAATTGCAAAGTTGAGAGTAGTTAAAATGGAGACCACAGTGCTCCAAAAGCTTAAGATACTTACTACCTTGCCTTTATAGGAAAAATTTGTGACTGATGATTTAAACTAGCATAGGCAGCTATAATGTACCAATTAAAAAAATGTGGAACTGGGGTTGTGGCTCCACACTTGCCTAGCATGTGCAAGGCTCTGGGTTGAATCCTCAGGACCACATAAAAATAAAATAAATAAAATAAAAATTATTTAAAAAATTAAAAATGTGGAAAAAATAAACTAAAAAAAATATTGTAAAAAAATAGGGCTGGGGTTGTGGCTCAGTGGTAGAATGCTTAACTAGCACGTGTGAGGCACTGGGTTCAATCCTCAGCACCACATAAATATAAATAAATAAATAAAAATAAATAATAAAGGTGTTGTGTCCATTTACAACTAAAAATAAATTTATAAATAAATAAATAAATAAACTAGAGGGGCCATCAAATATTGTTGATTATCTCTTTTGATAGAAGCTGCAATATAGGGGCTGGGATTGTGGCTCAGCGGTAGATAGCTCATCTAGCACGTGCGAGGTCCTGGGTTGGATCCTCAGCACCACATAAAAGTAAAAAAAAAAAATGCAATAAAAGATATTTTGTCCAGTTACAACTAAAAAAATAAAAAAGCTGCAATATAAATGCTATTCATGGGAATGTAGATCTGATTCAGTGGTAGTGCACTTGCTTAGTATGTGCAAGGCCAGGCCTAGGACCCGTCCCCAACAGAGCAAGAGGGAAAAAAGAAGAGGAAAATGCCATTCAGGACATGAGTGTGTACCGCTCAGCTGCAGGCCATATCCTAACCACAGGTCAAGGTGCTAAAAATTCTAGCCACTGATTTGTGTTTCCTTTTGGTAGTACTGGGGAGTAAACTCAAAACTTTATACATGTAAGGCAACTCCACCACTGAGCTACATCCCCAACCTTTTTACTATTTTTTTTTTTTTTTTTTTTTTTGAGACAGGGTTTCCTAAATTGCCTTGTTTGGCTTTGGACTTTTAATCCTCCTGCCTCAACCTCCCAAGTAGCTTGGATCAGAGGTGTGCACCACTGTGCCTGGCTTCAGTCACTGTTTTTAAGGGGAAGAAATCAGAAAATAGGTGAGTGGGAGCAGGCCACCTACAACCCCAGAAAAAAAAAATGTCAAAGTCCAAGTCTTTCAATACTTAGAATAGCACAGGATTGATGACAGTGACATAGGACCGAGCTGAACCACACACTAGGTCCCCATGGCAGAGAGCTAACTATTGGCCAAACACTAGAGAGGGTCCTTCGAAAGTAACTGATAAACCAGGAATGGGGATGCACGCCTGGAATCCCAGTAACCTGGGAGGCTGAGGTAGGAGGATTGCAAGTTTGAGGCCAGCCTCAGCAACTTAGTGAGGTCCTAAGCAACTTAGCAAGACCCTGTCTCAAAGTAAAAAGAACTGGGGATGTAGCTCAGTGGTAAAGCACCTCTGGGTTCAATCCCCAGTACCAAAATAAATAAATAAATAAATAAATAACCACCTGAGGGCAAAGAAGCCAGCTGTCTCCCTTCCCTGCCTCCCCAGGTGGGGGTTAAAGTATAGGGTAAAGCAGCCAGGTTGATGGTCCCCACCCCTCTGCTTTTCCCTGCCCAGATGGGATATGGCTCACCTCTTCATTAAAATCCATGTAGTTAGACACAATGTGGATATTGGGGTGAAACACTTCCATCTGTCGGATAATTTCTTCCAGGATATCACCAATGCCCGCAGAAAAGATGAACAGCGGAATGTTGTTACGATAGAGTATGTTGAAGAATGTCTTATACCCCTCCCTGTAAAGAGAAGAAAGAATTCTGAAATGGAGTTGCCTTTGCTACTATTCTTTATCTTCTACTTGGGCTAGGTATTTTTTATAATTTTCATTGTTTTAAAAACATTTTAAATTGAGGTACACAATGTATACAGAAAGTGATTATGTACTTGCTGAATGAATTTTCACAGATGTATACGTCCAGGAAACTCTAATCAGATCAAGGTTCCCTCAAGGGCCCTCTCAGTTAATACTACCCTCCCCCTGCATCTGACTTCATATCACCACTGATTAACTTTGCCCGTCCTTGAACTTCATATAAAGGGATTCAGCCAGGTACAAATAAGCACACCTATAATCCCAGCAACTCCAGAGGCTGAGGCAGGAGTATCATAAATTCAAGGCCAGCCTCACCAATTTAGCAAGGCTCCAAGCAACTTAGTGAGACCCTGTCTCAAAATAGAAAATAAAAAGAGCTCAGTGTAGCTCAGTGATAAAGCACCTCTGAGTTCAATCCACAGTACCAAAAAAAAAAAAAAAAAAAAGGTGGGGAAGATTTAAGATTCATACAGAATATACTCTTTTGCTCTGGCTTATTTTGTTTAACATACTGTCTGTATGGTTTATCCATTTTCTGTTTGTCTGTCTACTTTTAGGTACTGTGAATTTAACACAGGGGTCTTGTTGAGTTGCTTAGGGCCTCACCAAGTTGCTGAGATGGGTTTCAAGCTTGTGATTCTCCTGTCTCAGCCTCTCTAGTCACTGGGTGATTTGCCTATGGTGAGTAGTTTGTTCCTGTCACTGCTGTGCTGAAAATATTATTCCATCATATAATTGTGCTTCAATTTGTTTATTCAGCTTCCTGTTGATAGACAACTGAGATGTCGTCAGATTTCAGTATTATGAATAAGCCCTGTGCATGTCCTGTGGTGTTCACTCACTGCTCTTGGACATTTACCTGGGAGAGGGACTGTTGAAACAACAAGAGAGGCCAATATTATTTTGCTACTGATCATGCACTGGGCAGCTCTCCTGGGACACCTTCACTGGGGCCCCTCCACATTCATCTCATTCTTTTCTGGTCTGCACATATCTCTACTCTCCTGCTGTTTCAGGAGCTAGCCTCTCTCCCCAGTAAGGACTGCCGACCTTTGAGGGCAGGTACTGATGTCTGCTCCTGTCTCGGGGGGCTCCCATCCCTGCTCCAGGAAAGAAAGTTCCAGCAGAGACAGCTGCTTGGTGAAGGACAGTGATGATAAAGGTCCTGGCTTAGCAACTCTCATGTCTGGGTAAAGAACAGCAGTCACCCAGGGGTACTCCAGAAATCTTTACCATCAAAAAACAGAAAAAAAAAGAGCTGGACTCTAGGAGATGGAGCGCTGGCATTTTGCACTGCCTCCACTGGAGATGGCTCCATGGCCAGGACTCCTTGACTCCCAGCTACTAACTCTGCTCCACTCCTTCCCAGCCTCCTTTGCATAAGCAAAACAGCTTCAGACTGAGTTTACTGTTTTGAGTTCTGGAGCTGGAACCCAGGGTCTTGCACGTGTGAGGCATGCCCTGAGAATGCAAAGCAGTTCTGGAGAGTCTGGTGAAGCAAGCGTTTCCAGGGCAAGAAGCTCACCTGAGCATGGCGGTGGACTCCCCGACCACCTGCGCTATCTGACGCTTCTGAATCCTCTGCTGACACAGGAGGTTGTGCGCTTTGGTCCACCTAAGAGCAGACACCCCACGAAATTCCAAGTCATCCACGGACATCAAGGGCCCTTTCCCTTCACAGAACCAAGTCCCCTCTAACGCCGACAGCCTCGCCCTTTTCCACAGAGTCATTTCCTGAAGGATTGTGGCCATCCTTAAAAGGAAGAGGGCAGGAAGGCAGCATAAGGGAGGCAGAGCTGGGGTGGGGGGGCTGTTAGCTGTGAAAGCGGAAGCCTTTCCAGACCCTGTCCTCTGTGACCCTCCTCTCTGGAGATGCTGCCCAGGATGCACGTTTCCAAGGCAGGGTTGCTGTGGCTTGAATGTGCCCCCCAAAGTTAATTTTTTGAAAACTTGATCCCCAAGGCAGAGATGCTGGGAGGCTCTGGCCTCATGAACGGATTAATGCCATTATTATGGGAGTGGGTTCCTCATACAGGGACAAGTCCAGCCCCCTCTTGATCTCTGTCTCTCTTGCCCTCTTTTTGCGCTTTCTCCCTGGGATGATGTGGCAGGAAAGCCCTCATCAGACACTGGCACCTTGACCCTAGACTTCCCGGCCTCCAGAACAGTGAGCCGATATGTTTCTATTCACCTTAAGTTGCCTAGTCTGTGGTGTTCTGTTACAGCAGCACAAAACAGACCAAGACAGGGACATTTCCCCAACAGGCCACCAAACCAATGGATTTCTAACTTTTTCCAAGGATTCTTTGAGGGCCTCCACTCTAGCATACACAGGAAGTCCTGGTGTATATGGACAGTTTGTTCTACTAGCTGGGCTAATGGCATTACAGCTAAAACCTCAGTAAGATGAAGGAGCTGTCAATTCATCAAAGCTCTGGAAGAACACTCGCAGCCCAGCCCTGCCCACCTTCAGGGCCCAGGAACATCTCTCACCAGCGCCACTTACCATTCTACCATATGAGGCAACTTCTCTTTGATGGATCGGTGTGGGTCAATCTCAATTGGGTAGTAGTGGTGATACAGCGCCGTGAGCTGGAGACATCCACATGAGTAGGAAAGTCATTAGCACACATCAAGTTTTCCCCCAGCAAAGTCCCACAGCTTAGTGTGAGAGAAAAACTGCTTAGGGGATGCATCCTTGTGTAAAGGGTCTTCGTTTTTGTGTGGGGACACGTCAGTTACAAGACTCAAGTTTCTCCTCTTTTATTCTCTTACAACACTTGCATCTACCTACTTGATAATGTCCGGGGTGAGACTAGACTTGCAGAGCTCCTCTTGCACTCGCCCTGAGAATGAGGTCTAAGAGGCAGCAATATAAGGAGCTTTACTCTCCTATAAGAAAGGTATTGAAGCTGGGCGTGCTGGCACATGCCTATAATCCCAGAGCTCTGGAGGCTGAGGCAGGAGGATCATTGAGTTCAAAGCCAGCTTCAGCAACAGTGAGGCGCTAAGAAACTCAGTGAGATCCTGTCTCTAAATAAAATACAAAATAGGGCTGGGGATGTGGCTCAGTGGTTGAGTGCCCCTGAGTTCAATCTCCAGTACCCCAAAAAAAAAAAAAAAAAAAAAAAGTCATTGGAACTTTTTTTTTTTTTTGACTGATGTTATCAATTAGCTAAGTCATCAGGGTAATTCTCAGTTTCTAGAAATGTGGGATGCTTTCTCAGGTGCTAGGCAAGGTGGTTTAAGGAACTATATGAAAAAACACTTTTCATTTCATTTAAATAGTTATGGATTCTCCACCCCCCCCCCTTTGTACTGAGGATGGAACCTAGGGGTGCTCTACCACTGAGCTACGTCCCCATCTTCATCCCTTTTATTTTTTATTTTGAGACAAGGCTGCTGGGGGTGACTCAGCAATAGTGCACTTGCTTAGAATGCCTAAGGCCCTGAGTCAATCCCAGGACTCCCACCAAAAATTTTTAAAAAGAGAAAGAAGTTCTCAGTGTGTGTTTTTTGGAATACAAAAACTTCTTTTTCTTTTTCTTTCTTTCTTTGGTACCAGGGATTGAACCCAGGAGCACTTAACCATTGAGCCACATCCCCAGCCCTTTTTTATATTTTATTTTGAGACAGGGTCTCACTAAATTGCTCAGGGCCTTGCCAAGTTTATGAGGCTACCTTTGAACCTATAATCCTCTTACTTCATCCTCCCAAGCCACTGGGATTACAGGCATATGCCACTGTGCCCAGCAAGAACATTTTTCTAAAAGTATATTAGGACTCAGAAGATCATACATATGTGTGGAGTTTGTTGTTGTTGTTGTTGTTGTTGTTTGTTTGTTTGTTTTGGTGTGATTTAGACCATCTCAAAAAAAAAAAAAAAAGATTGGGGAACTGGGGATGTAGTTCAGTGATAGAGTACCACCAGTACTGCAAAATAAAAAGTAAAAAATAAAATAAAGTGCTATCTATAAATCACTGCCCATCTTAATAAGAAGTAATCATCTCCAAGTACTGGAAAGGCATGCATGAGAGCTTTGGTTTGATCCCCAGCACTGCAAGAAAAAAGGAAAAAGAAAAAAAAGGAATATTGGAAGAATTGATGAATGATGAGACACTAAGAGACCCAGTTAGAATGCAATTTAGTGAATAATGAAGTGGAACTAAATGATAAAGTCATTCACCCAAAAGAGGTCAGCGACCTATCAAAGTGCAGGAGGGTTAAACAATATAACATTCAAGTCTCTTATAATAGCATAATGTCTATATTCCAACCATCCATCATCCTATGTCTCAGCCAATAGGGAAAAGCTGTCTTCGTGTATTAAGACAAGATCCACATGAGCATAAAAATTTTTTAAAGAATTCATTCCTAAGATCTCTACGCTGGATTCTGGTTCTAATCAGGAGGCACTGAAGTAGCACATGATATCCATTTCTGAGCAAAGAAAGAGCGACCCACCTCTTTCCGACACTCCTCACTGATGATCTTGCTGTTATCCAGAATATCTGGAAAAACATGAAACTCCTTTTACTTGCTCCTTAGAAGCTGTCATCTTGTCAAGCCCAACCAAGCAAGCTAGAATATGACTTACTGTAAGAAGAAGGGCATCGCTTTCCATTATATGAAAACCTGCTCAAGGTCATGTCAAAATCAGAAATCACCTAAGAGGCAAAAGAGAAGTGCTGATGCCTAAATAGGCACTTTCTACTGTGGCCCTGCCTCAGCCTCCGGGTAAGAGTGAACTTGCTTAGAATGCATAAGGCCCTGGGTCAATCCCAGGACTCCCACCATTAGAAGTCTAATCAGCCCAATGGCCAGCCTCGGGGCAAAACCCTGGGAGAGTTAGGGAGGGATAGAGAGGGAGGGGAAGAGGTGATCCTCATCCTCACACCCTAAAGGAAAGCCCAGTCTCCTGGAGGGGTGTGTGTGTGCGCGAGTGTGTGTGTGCGTGTGCGTGTGTGTGTGCGTGTGTGTGTGTGCACGCGTGTGCATGCTGACTTTCGATGGCATCCTCCCAGTGCATGGGTTCCTTCCTAAAGCGCCTTCACCTTACCTAGTGGGGACCCCGCTGGGCTTGTAGTGCGTGGCCGGGGAAGGCCCAGGTCCTGGTGCGGGGTGTTTTCGAGGGAGGGGCAAGAACACCTTGAGACGTTTGTAATCTGTTTCGGGACAGCAGGGTCCCCCCGCGGGCGACCCTACCTGCCGCCCTCAGGCCCTCGGGGCGCTGCGCGACGCCCTCCGCGGGGCAGGAGCCCTCCCTCCGCGGGGCCGCTCCACTGTACCTGCAGCCGCTCGCCCCCGCCCCTGCGGAGCGCGCCCACGATCTCCAGCACCCGCCCGGGCTGCCGCATCCGGACCGTGGCCTTCTTCAGGGTGCTCACCTGTCCCGAGACCCGAGAGAACCGCTGACCCGGGCGCCGCGCCGAGCCCCAGGGAGCAGGGCTTGCCCCGGCGCCACGCCGCGACTTCCGCAGCCCGCCGGGGACCTGGGGGCGCCGCGGGGACAAGGGCCCGCTGCTGCACACGGGGCGCTCCCCCGAGCCTCACCTCTTCCGCCATCTCGCGGGTGGCTTGGTCCGTGGCACGAGAGACGACTGCCGCCCCGCGTCCGCACTGCGCAGGCGTCGTCCCCAGCCGTCCGCGCGGCTGCCTCCCGGGCCTGGGAGCTTTGGCTGGGGCGCCGGCAGGAGCAACTGGTGGCGAGTTCTATCGGGAGGAGGAGGGGGAGGGTCTCAAGATCCTGGGGTCACGTGCGTGGGCTGGGCTGTCATGGGGCCTTATGTGACTCTGCACTCTTTGGAGCAACGCTCTGGCAAGAGTGGTCATTTCCTGGCCTAAAGTTTGCAAGAGGAACAAAACCGACGGGTGGGAGGGGATAGGAAGGTGCCACCAAGTGAATACTGTTAAACCATCCTCAGTTGGGCCCCTCCTCGTCACGGAAGAAAGTGAGCGACTAACACAACTAGGGTGCAGGGAGACCTTGGGCAGTTGGGCAGCATGGAATTCAATCATTTTTTGCTAGGCATGGTGTGCATGCCTATAATCTCAGAGACTCTGGAGGCTGAGGCAGGAGGATCACAAATTCGAGGACAGCCTCAACAATTTACCAAAGCCTTGAGCAATTTAAGGAGTCCCTGTCTCAAAAAATACAATTAAATTAAAAGGACTGAGGATGTGACTCAGTGAAAGTGCCCCTGGGTTCAATCCCCAGTACAAAAACAAAAGAAAGAAAAAAGAAATTAATCAGCTTCACTGCTCCCTTCTGCCTCTGCTAACTTGGAGTTCTTTGAACTCAGTGTGCAGGGAGCCCAGTGGGAGCCATGGAAGGTGGATGGATGCTGCAGGGATCAGAACCTGAACAACCTGAAGAGAGCAACAGGAAGTAGAATCAAGGAAAACTCTAATATGGCTAATATGGTGTTGGTGCTAACAGTTCTGCTCTGGGTTCAAGGTCATCTGTCTGTGAGGTGTGGGGGGCAGGGAGGAAGGAGGGAGGAAGGAAGGGGCAGGGACAGGAGGGAGTTCCAGAACCTGAGAGCACAATCCTGAGAGTGATCTCACTGCGGGCCCAGGATTCTGGAACTTGTGCTGCCTGATGGGCCCTATATGAAAGATGTAGTAGGGAAAAGGAGCGACAGCTGGCTAAAGGGGCCCCCCACAACCCTCCCCGACACCCCAGGAGAGCAGCCTCTCTCCGCTGGTCCCAGTGCCATGGAGATGGAGAGCACGGCGGCCTCCACTCGGTTCCACCAGCCTCACATGGAGAGGAAGATGAGCGCGATGACCTGTGAGATCTTCAATGAACTTCGGCTAGAGGGCAAGCTCTGCGACGTGGTCATCAAGGTCAATGGCTTTGAGTTCAATGCCCACAAGAACATCCTCTGTAGCTGCAGTTCCTATTTTAGGTATTAACAGCGTGCTGAACTAAGAAGGGGGAAATTGGGCTCCTCTTGAGGCCTTTTGCGGTTCTCCATTCACCATCTCTGAAATTTAGGGATGTCAGAGCTCTGGGCTCCTCTAGCTTGGTTCCTGTCTGCAGCAGAGATACAACTTAGGCCCAAGGCCTCTTTTCTCTGATTTTCATCTTGAGGTCAACCAACTTCTGGTGGACCATGTGATTTCTTCCTTGATTCTCACCCAAATTAACCTTTAGTTAGACTCCCATACTGGATTTCCTACTTAGATTCAGGTGGCAATGCTACTCCAGGTGAACTTTTTGTCCCTGTCCCAGTACAGACCATTTAAAATAGGGTGTTAAGCCAAGTGCAGTGGCACATGCTTGTAATTCCAACAACTCGGGAGGCTGAGGCAGGAGGATTGCAAATTCAAGGCCAGCCTCAGCAATTTAGGGAGTCACTATCTCAGAAAAATTTTTAAAGGGTTAGAGATGTAACTCAGTGGTAGAGTGCTTGCTTAGCATGGGCCAGGTCCTGGATCCAATCCCCAGTAGTACAAAAAATAAATACATAAAAAAGAAAAATAAAACCCAGGGTTAAATAAACAAGGATGGAGCAGGTGTTAGGCAGAGTCATGCATGCCTACAATCCCAGTGACTCAGGAGGCTGAAGAGGAGGATCTCAAGTTTGAGGCCAGCCTGGGAAATTTATCAAGACCCTCTCTTTTTCTTCTTCTTTTTTTCCTCTTGGTACTGAGGATCAAACCCAGGGCACTTTATTTCTGAGCTACATCCAGAGTCCTTTTTATTTTTTGAGACCTGGTCTTGCTAAATTGATGAGACTGGTCTCAAACTTGCAATCCTCCTCCTGCCTCAGCCTTCTGAGTCACTGGAATTATAGGCATGGACCACCATGCCTGACTGCAAGACCCAGTCTCAAAAAAAAAAAAAGTTTGGGATGCAACTCAATGGTAAATGCTCTTGTTTCCAATCCCTGGTACCAGGCAAAAAAATGGAGGGGATGGAAAGGAGGATGAAGAGAAAGTACCTAGGAAATATTTATCAGAAGAAAAAGGGAGTTTTGACTAGAGTCATTGTAACCCAGGAAGTAGACGAGCTATTTTGTTCATGACCCCGAAAATTTCTTTCTTTTTTTACTCGGAATAGACTCTAGACATTTCACCATTTAACCACTAAGCCACATCCCCAGCCCTTTTAATTTTTTTTTTTTTTTCCATCGAGACAGGGTCGCTTTTAGTTGCATAGGGCTTCACTAGTTTGCTGAGGCTGGCTTTGAACTTGTAATCCTCCTGCCTCGCTCAGCCTCTTGAGCCATTGGGGTTACACTCATGTGCCACTGTGCCTGGCCATGACCTGAAAATTTCTGAGTAATCTGCTCCAGTGAAGAAATGATAAATGTGTTCCACCTGTTGCTGAATATTCTCACTCACTTAAACCCTACAGCAGGGCCCCAGAAAGACCAGATACGAAATATTGAAGCTCTGTAAGCCGTGGAGTATCTGTTGCAACTATTTGGCCCAGCATTTACATTGTGCAAGCAGCCACAGACAGCTCTAAATGAAGGGGCGTGGCTGCACCCCAACAAAATTATTTATGGACACTAATGTTTTAATTTTCAGGTGTCACAAACATTCTTTTGGTTTTTTCCTACTGACCATTTAAAAATGCAAAAACAACAACCACAGCAAAAACCCTTAACTTGTGGGCAGGACAAAAACAAGAGGTGGATGGATTTGGCACAAAGCCTGTGTTTGCAGAATTTGATCTCTCCAGGTGCAGCTACTCCAGAGCAGCTACTCTGGAGGCTAAGGCAGAAGGATCACTAGGGACAGCCTGGGCAACTTAGTGAGACCCTGTCTCAACATAAAAAATAAAAAAAGATTGGATATGTCAGAGCATCCCTTGCTTAAACCCCAATACTATAGGGGAGAATAAAAGAATTCTATCTCTAAGCCACTAAACTGCTTAGAAAAAAAGGAACAAAATATATTAGAGCAAGAATTCTATCTTGTTCTAGGTAAAAAGTACCTAGTTACATAGTAGGAGTCCAATACATAATTGTAGGATAGTGGTCATTTTATTCAATATTTATTGAGTAACTATTTTGTGCTATTATGGATACTGGAAAGAAAAACATGAATAAAAAACATTCCTGTTTTCATGAACCTTACTATCTAGTTGGGGAAATAGGCATTGGAATGAGTAAAACACATGTCCAATTATAAGTGCTAGGGGAAAAAAGAAGGAAGATGGGGACTCTGGATTGCAATTTTAGATAGGATTGTCAGAGAAGGCCTTGCTGACAAGGTAATGTTGGTAAAGGCTTCAAGGGGATGAGGGAGAGAGAAAGATGGAGATATGGGGACTCTACCAGGCATAGGGAATAGCAGTAGGAAAGGAGAATTACCCCTGATGCTCCAAGAACAGCAGGGAGGTGGACAGGGTTGGAACAGAGTGGGGAAAAGTGGGAGAAATGGGGCAGAGTGGTTCAGATCTCAGAGGGATAAGTGTGTAAGTACTTTGCATTTCACTCTAAGTAAGAAGGGAAGTCAGCGGAAGGTTTTGAATGGAAGAGCAACATAAACTCTTCTAAGGATCACTGTGGCTGCTGGGCTGAGACTATAATGCTGGAGGGTCGGGGCAGAAGAAATATCAAATAGGTTATTCTAGATAGTCTGGGTAAAAGATGGCAATGGCTTGGACCAACCAGGTAGCAATAAGAGGCAAAGAGTGATCAGATTCTGGGTATATGCTGTTGAATGGTACTTATTTAAGAGGGTATTTATTGCTCAAGTGTAATTTCCTTAAGCCAGATAGAATTTGGGCTGGGTATGGTGATGTACTCCTGTAATCCCCGTGGCTCAGGAGGCTGAGGCAGGAGGATCCCAAGTTCAAAGCCAGCCTGAGCAACTCCGTGGGACCCCACCTCAAAATAACAGATAGATAGATAGATAGATAAAAGGGCTGGAATGTGGCTCAGTGGTTAAGCATTCCTTCCCCTGTTACCAGCATGCCTGGTACCAAAAAAAAAAAAAATTTGAATTTGGTGTGCAATGGGTTAAGACAGAAGAAGAGAGCCTGGTCTCCCTCCCATTCTAGATTTCAGATTCTCCATCCATAAACTGGGGGGGGGGGGAAAGACCAAGTTATCATGAGGATAAGGAGAGTGGGACCAAAGTCAGTTCCTGGAAAGTTTCTCTCCTTGGCTACTGCATAAAGCACTTGTAAGCACTTGTATTTGTCCCACCTTCTCAGGCCAATCCGCTTCCATCATACGGTGCACTATTTAGAAAATGTCCAAACTCAAGAAGAAAAGGGGCTGGGAATGTAGCTCCGTTGGTAAAATGCTGACCTTGCATGCACAATTCCCTGGGTTCAATCCCCAGCACCACAGAAAAGGGGAGATGGGAGACATATATTCTGTGACTGCTAGTTTCTTTTTTTTTTTTCCAGAGCTTTGTTTACAAGTGGCTGGAACAACACTGAGAAGAAGGTATACAACATTCCTGGCATTTCCCCTGATATGATGAAGCTAATTATTGAATATGCATACACCCGGACCGTGCCTATCACCCCGGACAACGTGGAGAAGCTGCTGGCTGCTGCAGACCAATTTAACATCATGGGTATTGTTAGGGGTTGC